GCTGAGCCAATAAAATGGAAAAAATGCACTATTACACATCTCCTGCTTTCCGTCCCTATCTTCCTCTACTTTTACATAAACTATATTGTATTATACATATTGATCTCCAACTTGCTTTTTTTTCACTTAGTGGTATATCTTTGCCATCAATGTATAAAGATATAGTTAATTTTTTAAATGACCACTTAGTATATTACTAATTTGACTGGTCCCCAAGTGATGCACTCTAGCTCTCTACTTGTCTCTCCCTCCCTGTTCTCCTCCCCTCACCCTTTCTCTCTCTTTCTTTTGGGTATCACTGTTTTTGCACTTTTGTTTGAGATAATTCTAGGATACATTCTTAGACATAGAGTTGCTATACCAAAAAGTATGTGCATTTGAGCAAAAGCAAACATAAATATTAATAAGTTGTCATAATGTTTGTATCCCTTGAATCTCACAAGGTATTTATCCATATTCTCTCTAACACTGGGTATTATCATCTGTTCACATCTTTGCTTATCTGATACATGAAAAATATATAATTCATTTAAAAATTTGTCTTACCCTCATAATGACTAAGAATCCCTTCTGTATTTTGTTTGTACCTATTTGGTAGTGCAATCAAAATATTCTGTCTTGAGGATAGGGACTATTTTCTATTCAATGCAATAAATACTTATGTGTCTAGTTGTAAATTATACTGAAAAAATATAAACAACGATAGCATTTAATACCATAGAATGTAACAGAGAATATAAACATTAAAAATGTTAACTGTAGCCCTGGCCCCTGTTGCTAAGTGGTTAGAGCACTGGCCAGAGCACAGAAGGATCACTGGTTAGATTTCTAGTCAAGGCATCCAATTGATGTGTCTCTCTCACATCAATGTTTCTCTCTCTCTCTCTCTCTCTCTCTCTCTCTCTCTCTCTCTCTCTCTCTCTCTGCCACCCTCCCCACCCCCCACACTCCCTTCCACTCTCTCTGAAAAATCAATGGAAAAAAATATCCTTGGGCGAGGATTAACAAAACAGAAGAAAAATATTATCAGTAAAAGATTTTCCCAGAACTGGTTTTGAGTGGCAGTGACTCCTAATTAATAGGATGAATTAGCTACAAAATATATCCTCAATTGAATAAGTGGAGGCATTAGCTAGAGTTATTTTGTATTTTGCACTTGGAAATTGGATATTATCAGCCAAAAATAATTTTTTGGCACAATTAATGATCTGTTCTCCCTGGAAGTACAATAATTAGAAATCTGCTCAGTGACTTCTAATGTCACTACTGGTTTGCGACAGGAAACCATGACACTAGCCTTAAGAATGACACCTCCTCAATTGCTATGGGACAAAGCAACTGTAACAGGCATTTATTCTGGAGCTGATGAAGGAGCTATGATATCGCTCTTTGATGATGTAGTTTTAAGTTAAAATCCTACCAATCTAGAGACTATTTCAACTCTGTCACAGAGCTGTTAAAAATGAACATTTTATAAAAGCTTTGATAACACTGGATTTATGCTATGCCTTCACATCTTGGTCCATGGACAAGCTGATGATAGATAGAAAAAATGCCACAAATACTAGCATGTTCCAAAATGATTCTCAAATTGATTTAGGAGGTAAGCTGGGGGGGGGCGGGTGGGGAGTGTTCCATATTCAGCCAAACTTCAGGAGAGTTGTTTAGGAAAGTGAACGAGCTTTCTTTACTTTGAGATTTCAGGGTCTTTAATGCCACAGTGTGACTGGGAGCCAGTTTTCAGTGTTTCCCCAACCCCTTTGACCCCAGCACCAATTTCCTATGGTGAAATCTCCTGTGTTTTCCAGCCATTCCCAGGATCCACTTTTCTTAAATCTGATGGGACTCTGATCAGGAGGCCTAACCTCCCCCAGCTAAGGGACCAGGTAGTGCTCTAAGTTAAGACACCTGAAAGCTGGAATCTGAATTGGGAGTATCAGAGAACAATAGGTTGGGGTCCACTTATTCCAGCATGGGAGACACCTGGTCATGACATTTCTGCCCCTACATCATCCTGCCGTCAATGCCATTGTGCTCTCTGGAGTTGCTCTCACTCCTGCAGCTTCCTAGCTTGGGTATCTAGGTAGGATGCCCATCAGTTATCAGAGTTCCTGTTATTCTTCCATCAAAGTCCTTTTTATTTAAACTGGGTGGAGTTTTATGTTGTTTTGCAACCAAAGGACCCGCACATTTTCTTCCTTAGCTTACCTGTCAATAACACTAGATTGAAACAGGGACAATGCACTCATGCTTTCCTCCCCCTGTTGTCCATGTCCATTGGTTGGGCTTATATGCACGCATACAAGTCCTTTGGTTGGTCTCTTCCCTTACCCCCACCCTCCCCTACTTTCCCTCTGGGGATTGATAGTCTGATCACTGTTTCTCTGTCTTTGGATCTGTCTCTGTTCATCAGTCTATGTTGTCTGTTTTTTTGACAACTGAAAGCCCTATACTAATAACACTGCCTAACACAGCCTAAGAACTCAGAAAATTTTTGTTGAACAAATTACTAGGGTTCCATAGCAGAGCTTTTGGGAAGCATTGTTTTAAGCTATATCCTTAATAAGGAAAGACTGTATATAATGGTACCCAAAAGAAAAATAGTGCCTAAAACCTATTCATTCCTCTATTAACAGTATTCCAGAAAACACACTTGTGTTGAGTTTTGAAGGCTAGCTAACAAACCATGGAGTCACATACTTTAGAGAAGTAAACGTGTGTTTTTTTCCCCAATTAAAAACAACCACACTATAAATCAATCTTATGAAGTCATTTAGGGAAAAATCGCACTCTCTGAACTAGACATTTACTAGGCATTTAACATACATTTTTAAATTTAATCCTCAACATCTATGTGTTAGTCAGCAATATTTCTTGAGCCCCTGATATGTGACAGACATTGTGCTTACACATAGGAATACAATAATGAGCAAACAGACTCAGCTAGGGCAGAAAGAGACCATTCTACAGTCACACAGATGGTGAGTTGGTGGAATAAAGATTATATTTCTGTGTAAATAGCTATATCTTTGCTCTTTCTATTTAGTTGTATTTAATAATAAACAGCTTCTATTTATTCTAAACAAATAGATAATCCAGTCAATATAGATGGGTTTCAGGTTTTAAGGACAGTCACCTTAGTGACAAATAATTTATGAATCTTAAAGGGGTGTTTTATTGACACCAATCATTGTCAGTATTTTGGGTTCAAATATGCTTTAACACTTGTCTTCTAACATAACACAGCATCCAATGAAAAATATCAAGTTGTGTATGAAAACTTCTAGAGAATTGCATTGCACCTAATGTTTGCCATCAGTTATTTGTCATTCTTCCCTCTGCTCCCATCTTGGTGTCCAGGACTGCCAGATAAAGTAGGTCCCCAGAATCCCGAAGTTCAAATATCAAGCCCTGGGAGCCAGCCAGCCATGCCCCAAGGGGTGAGGTGTGGTGCAAACAGCTTCAGAAAACCTGTAGGTCTGAGAGTGGAAAAATTGCTGAACCACTGATTTGAGACTAATGAGAATATTATGGTCGTCTCAAAATAGATCAGGGTACTGTTCCTAGCCCAAGTGTGGAGGAACACCAACCTCCAAGACACGGGACTTACCATTCTGTGAAATTCCATTTTTTGCAGTAGTTTAAACCCTGAACTTCTACCACATAGTTTACTCTAATTTAGAGTTGTATCTGCTGGTAGCTTAACTCCAGGTAGGACCAAGGTTTTCATTTCAAAAGTAGAATATGGTAGGTTTTTACCTAGTAAAACAACCCACTATGCCTAAGTATGCATTTCTGGGCATATTTTACACAGGAATATGAAAGACTCACACGTGGCACAAGAATGGGCCAGGCCCTGGAATTTAATGGTGGTGTCTGGCGTTGGTGTTTGCCGTTTTAATGCTGAAGGGGCTGTAACCACACACTCTTCCTCATTCCTCAGGCTCAAGGCTGCCATCCATCCCTGGTGATCCCGGATCATTTCTTAAAGTTACTCTGATGCCAGTCTCTTCAGTACCATGAAGTCTACTATCCTAAGGAGGGCCACTATTTACCAGTAGCTCCCGCAACGCGGCCGGTTGAAATAGGGGCATTTTGAACTTGACAAGTTGGTTGGGTCCTGGAGAGGGAAACAGGGCCAGTGCTCCCAGACACACCAAGTTGGGTTCATAGCGTCTGTTCCCGCAGGTTGCGGACCAGCCCTGGGGAAGGGAGAGGGGAGGTTGGTTTCCTGGGTATCGGTGGTCGCCGGAGGGGCCGCAGCTGAGGCGGCCTGTGACCCCG